AGGAAAGATCAACTACATGCTGTTCTGAGAAACTATACAAAATGTAAGTTAAAAGAATGGAAAAAGATGTACCTGTGAGTACTTACAAAAAACAAAAACAAAAACTGTGGCTGTATTATGAGGCAAGAGTCAAAATCAACTTTAAAGAAAATGAAGACAAGGCTGTTTGTAGTAGTAGATTCCATTCAAAGGGGTGACAGAGAGGCATAGAACGGGGAGGGGATGGTCACAGACAGAGTCCAGAGCAGAAACAAATGGTGATGGCCCAGGTCTTCCCATTGTGTCTGTGCAGGGTTTGCATCTACAGGTGGCAGTTGTCCTGGTCGGGACTTCTTCACTGGCAGCTGCAGCTGTGGTCAAGGATTTTAGTCTGTTACAGAATTCCCACAAATTGAAGGGGAGGCAGGCCATTGGGTGCAGTGATGCCAAAGAGTTCACCGGGTGAACTGAGCAGGTACAGGTTTGGTGGGGAAAGGTATCAGGGAAGCCAGGAGCCCACTTGATTCACTGACCTGGAGTGTGGATGTGGTTAAACAGATCAGCAGGTAGACACTGACTCCCAAACTGCAAAGCACCCTGTGGGACTGTGAGTGGGTAAAGTACCAAAGTCATCGTGTTCACTCTCAAGGAGCTCACAGTTTAGACGAGGGGCAGTCTATTCTAACTGAAATAAATATACTGAAAATCAGCCAGATACAGAGAGCTTACCTGGCTGATTCTGACTAGCTGCCATTTTGGCTATGGTTTTAACCACTTCTACCCTAAGCACAGAGAGCTCATGACAACTGTGTGTACATGTTGATATAATAGTTACACATAATGATGGTTAATCTATATAAAAATAGCATCCTTTATCACATATTCACTATCCTTTCTCTTACCCTCTTTGATTTTCTTCTTAGCACTTAACACTAGCTGCTGTTCTAATATATTACATGTCTGTTTGCTAATGATCTGTCATCTCATCTAGAGCGTAAGCACCACATGGGCAAGAATTTTGTCTGTTTTGTTCACTCTCCTTCCAGTGCCTAGAACAATGCCTGGCACTCCTGAAGGAATAATGACCTTGAGAGTTGTCTTGTGCCAGGTACTATACTAAGAATTTTATATCTCTATCAGATTTCATTTTATCAGCAACTTCAGAGGTAGGTAACATCCCATTTTACAAATGGGGAAATGGATATTAAGAAAATGAGTTTAAGAAAATGAGTTTTAGAAGGAGGGACATAATAAAGATTAGAGCAGAAATAAATAAAATCGGGAAGAATAAAACAATAGAAAAAAATCAATGAAACAACTGCCACCTGCAGATGCAAACGCCTGCAGAGACACAACAAGAAGACCTGGGCCATCACCATTTGTTTCTGCTCTGGACTCAGTCTGTGACCATCCCCTCCTGACTCTATGCCTTTCTGTTCACCCCTTTGAATGGAATCTACTACAAACAGCCTTGTCTTCATTTTCTTTAAAGTTGATTTTGACTCATGCCTCATAATACAGCCACAGTTATTTATTCTTTTTTGTAAGTACCCACAGGTACATCTTTTTCCATTCTTTTAACTTACATTTTGTATAGTTTCTCAGAACAGCATGTAGTTGATCTTTTCTGTTTATATTTAATATAACTTGTATATGTGAAGTTAATTTTACTGTCTTCCATCTATACTTTCTATTTTTCCTACCTATTCTGTTTCTTTTTCTGTCCTTGTTTGACTCTTTCTGACTCAGAACTTTTTATAATTCTGTTGTCTTTCCCTTTGCATTCTCCTTTTCCTAATCCAGTATTTCTTCTTTGAGAAAATAAACAAAATAGGTAAACTTAAGCCAGACTTACCAAGAAAAAAAGAGTCTCCACACATAAACAGAATCAGAAATGAGAAAGGAAAAAAGACTACAGACACCACAGAAATACAAAGAATTATTAGAGAATACTATGAAAAATTATATGCCCACAAACTGCATAACCTAGAAGAAATGGACAACTTTCTAGAAAAATCCAACTTTCCGAGGCTGGCCCAGAAAGAAACAGAAAATCTGAACAGACCAATTACCAGCAACAAAAATGAATTGGTAATCAAAAAACTACCTAAGAACAAAACACCTGCACCAGAAGGCTTCACTGCTGAATTTTATCAAACTTTTAGTGAAGACCTAATACCCATCCTCCTTAAAATTTTCCAAAGAGTAGAAGAAGAGGGAATGCTTCCAAACTCATTCTATGAGGTCAGCATCACTCTAATACCAAAACCAGGCAAAGATACCACAAAAAAAGAAAATTACAGACCAATATCCCTGATGAACATAGATGCAAAAATGCTCAACAAATATTAGCAAACCAAATTCAAAACTACATCAAAAAGATCATCCATCATGATCAAGTAGGATTTATTCCAGGGATGCAAGGATGGTACAACATTCGAAAATCCATCAACATCATCCACCACATCAACAAAAAGAAGGACAAAAACCACATGATCATCTCCATAGATGCTGAAAAAGCATTTGACAAAATTCAACATCCATTCATGATAAAAACCCTCAACAAAATGGGTATAGAGGGCAAGTATCTCAACATAATAAAGGCCATATATGACAAACCCACAGCCAACATCATACCTAACAACGAGAAGCTGAAAGCTTTTCCTTTAAGATCGGGAACAAGACAAAGATGCCCACTCTCCCCACTTCTATTCAACGTAGTACTGGAGGTCCTAGCCACGGCAATCAGACAACACAAAGAAATAAAAGGCATCCAGATTGCAAGGAAGAAGTTAAACTGTCCCTGTTTGCAGATGACATGATATTGTACATAAAAAACCTTAAAGAATCTACTCTAAAAGTACTAGCTAATATCTGAATTCAGCAAAGTTATGGGATACAAAAGTAATACACCAAAATTTGTTGCATTACTATACATTAACAATGAACTAGCAGAGAGAGAAGTCAGGAAAAAATTCCGTTCACACTTGCATCAAAAAGAATAAAATACCTAGGAATAAACCTAACCAAGGAAGTGAAAGACCTGTCTATACTCTGAAAACTACAAGACACTCATGAGAGAAATTAAAGAAGACACCAATAAATAGAAACACATCCCATGCTCATGGATAGGAAGATTAATATTGTCAAAATGGCCATCCTGCCTAAAGCAATCTACAGATTCAATGCAATTCCTATAAAAATACCAACAGCATTCTTCAACAAGCTAGAGAAAATCGTTCTAAAATTCATATGGAACCACAAAAGACCCCGAATAGTCAAAGCAATCCTGAGAAGGAAGAATAAAGCTGGGGAAATTATGTTCCCTGACTTCAAGCTCTACTACGAAGCCACAGTAATCAAGACAATTTGGTACTGGTACAAGAACAAAACTATAGACCAATGGATGAGACTAGAGAGCCTAGATAGAAACTCAAGCATATATGGTCAATTAATATATGATAAAAGTATCCATGGACACACAGTGGGGAAATGACAGCCTCTTCAACAACTGGTGTTGGCAAAACTGGACAGCTACATGTAAGAGAATGAAACTGGATTATTGTTTAACCCCATACACAAAAGTAAACTTGAAATGGATCAAAGACCTGAATGTAAGTCATGAAACCATAAAACTCTTAGAAGACAACATACGCAAAAATTTCCTGAATATAAGCATAAGCAACTTCTTCCTGAACGCATCTCCTCGAGCAAGGGAAACAAAAGCAAAAATTAACACTTGGGACTACATCAAACTAAAAAGTTTCTGTATGGCAAAGGACACTATCAACAGAACAAAAAGTCATCCTACAGTATGGGAGAATATATTTGTAAATGACATATCCGACAAGGGGTTAACATCCAAAATATATGAAGAACTCACACACCTCAACCCAAAAAGCAAATAACCCGATTAACAAATGGGCAGAGGATATGAAGAGACAATTCTCCAAAGAAGAAATTCAGATGGCCAACAGACACATGAAAAGATGCTCCACATCACTAATCATCCGGAAAATGCAAATCAAAACCACAATGAGATATCACCTCACACCAGTAAGGATGGCCAACATCGAAAAGACTGAAAACAGCAAATGCTGATGAGGATGTGGAGAAAGGGGAACCCTCCTACACTGCTGGTGGGAATGTAAGCTAGTTCAATCATTGTGGAAAGCAATTTGGAGGTTCCAAAAAAAAACTAAAAATAGAAATACCATTTGACCCGGGAATCCCACTCCTTGGAATTTACCCAAAGAATACAACTTCTCAGATTCAAAAAGACATGTGCACACCAATGTTTATTACAGCACTATTTACAATATCCAAGATAGGGAAACAACCTAAGTGTCCATCAGTAGATGAATAGATAAAGAAGATGTGGTACATACACATGATGGAATACTATTCAGCCATAAGAAAGAAACAAATCCTACCATTTGCAACAACATGGTTGGAGCTAGAGGATACTATGCTCAGTGAAATAAGCCAGGTGGAGAAAGACAAGTGCCAAATGATTTCCCTTATTTGTGGAGTATAACAACGAAGCAAAACTGAAGGAACAAAACAGCAGCAGGCTCACCAACTCCAAGAAGGGACTAGTGGTTACCACAGGGGAGGGGTATGGGAGGGCAGGTCAGGAGGGAGGGAGATGAGAATTTAGGGGTATTATGTTTAGTACACATAGTGTGGGGGGGTTACAGGGAAAAACAGTGTAGCACAGAGAAGGCAAACAGTGAATCTGGCATTTTACTACACTGATGGACAGTGACTGCATTGGGGTATGAGTGGGGACTTGATAATGTGGGTAAATGTAGTAACCACATGTTTTTTCATTTGAAACCTTCATAAAAGTGTATATCAATAATACCTTAATAAAAATTAAAAAAAAGTACAATATGTATAAAAAAATGAGTTTAAGAAAATGACCTGGGGTCATACAATCTAAGTGGCAGAGCCTGGATTTGAATCTTTGTCTAACTAGGAAGCTGAACTCTTCCTCTTTCTCGTCTTTCCTTCTGCAGGGTCTGAGGACATGGCCAGAAGGGCTCTCAAGCTTGCTTCATGGACCAGCATGGCTCTTGCTGCCTCTGGCCTCTACCTCTACAGTAACAAGTACTTCGACCCTAATGACTTTGGTGCTGTCCGGGTGGGCAGGGCAGTTGCTACGGTAGGTTTTTCTTATTTGGGGAGTAGCAGAGGACCTGCAGTATTACTTGCAGGTGTTCATACTTGTAACAGGTAGACATGCTGGTCACACATTTGTGGAGATGCACCTGCACCTGTGCATGTTTAGACCTCCCTCTCTGCAGTTGCTTGGGCATGGTGTGCACCCTCATGCACCTGTAGTCCCATGTGCACATACTCGGCCATCCTGAAGTTAAACAGAATGGAATCGCACAGGGCCCCTGTTCCCAAGCCTTTACATGTAAGGTTTTGTATCTGATTGTAATGACAGACTCAGGGGTGGCACTGCTCAGCAAATGCACATGGAAAGAAGACTTTGCAGCTTTGATTAAATTCTGCCAGAAAACTTGACTTCTCTCTAATGAGTTGGTGTGAATGGTGCCTGATGCAGGGTTCATATTTAGAGCCTCTAGGCCTCAGAGAACTTTGGCGATCCCCTCCAGTCCCCAAGCTAACAGAATCTGAATAGAATATTTGACAGAGGTTTTCTCCATTGGCCCAGGTATGTCGTAGCAGTGTGATCATGTTCTCTTAACTCTGCAGAAAGCGACTGTCCCAGATGTGCCTCTGTCGTTGCCCCAGTGGTGGTAGGTTGCTACGTGCTTCATGCGCTCTCTCCTCCTCTGCTGCAGGAGGAGCTCTTCCTTTCTTCCCCTTGGTGTGGATGTGCTCTGATGCACAGTCTGTTTGGGTTGTTGTCTAAACATGTCCTGAAGTCTCAGTGTTACCAGGTCTCCTCTTTAGCCTGGCTCAGAAGGGGAGGCCACTGATGTGGTGCCTGCTCTCAGGGAAACTGAGTCATAGAATCAAGGAAGACCAATAGATAAACAAGCCATGGAATGTGAAATGACTGCCAGGTGTTTCTTGAGTGCCTTGGCTCAGCATTGTCTTCTGTGTTGTGACGGGTAGAAATGAACTGTCTCACCTAGACCCAGCTTTGAAGGACTTCTGGTTGAGGAGTGCTTATGTGAATGGGCCAAAGGACAATCTAAAACCATATATTGGGTCAAGGTGTGTGACTCAGGTGCCTGCTGCTGTGGAACCTCAGACACAGGAGTGAGCACTGTGGGCTGGGAGTCAGGGTGAGTGCCCTGCGGAAGGCAGGGCTGGATGGAACCTCAGGGATTTGAGCAGTTGGAAATGAAGGAGGAAGGTATCAACCAGCACTTTCTAAACCAGCCACCTGGCTGTGCATTCTTTAAAGGCCAGGGCTCTGGTCTTGATCAGCCTTGTGCACTGCTCACTGACCAGGACTTACTCATGGTTGGCCTTCAGCAAGTTTATGTCAAATGGAATGAAGTTGGGGGTGTAGACAAAGGAATGGACTCCTCTCAATATCAGCCTTATAAATCCTTTAATTTCTAGGGGCCTCAGTTGCTCAGTTCCGAAAGGGAAGGTTGGGCTAGGTAATCCATGCCTGAGATATCTGAAAGCCTGTAGTTTTCTTCTTCTCCAAGGATAAGAGGGATTTCTCCTGGAGTTTTGGACAAGGAGCCCAGAACCAAAACTTCTGCTAGTAAAGCAAATGTACATATAAAATGATATTTGTTTGGGATACAGAGAGGTGGGATAAGTTTATCCAACACATTCATTCAGCTAGTATTTACTGAGCATTTGCTTATGTGCCTGACACTACAAAAGGTGCTGGGGGTATGGTGATGAACAGGAAGGACAAGTCCCTGAATGTATAGAGCTTAAATTCTACTGAAAGGGAGACAGTTTATATACAAGGAAGCACATGAGCAAGGTAATTTTGGGTGGTGGTTTGTCATGATAAGCAACTGGGAGTTCCTGGTAGGTGGGGCAACTTCAGATCAGGGCTCTCTGCAGAGCTGGCTTTTGTGCAGAGCCCTGATTGTCAGGAAAAAGCCAGCTAGGCTAAGATCTAGGGGCAGGGCATCTTAGGGACTGTACTCCTATAGACAAACCACCTGTGTCAGAGGCCTACAGCTGCAGGGCTTGGGCCGAGGAGTAATGTTTGATGTGGTGCTAAGCCTTTATTTTTCTTGATTCATAGACAGCTGTCATCAGTTATGACTACCTCACGTCCCTGAGGAGTGTCCCCTATGGCTCAGAAGAGTACTTGCAGCTTCGATCCAAGGTAAGGAATTCTTGGTACCCATCTGAACTAGGCCAGGACTGGATAAGTCCCGATGTGGCTGCAAAGCCAGCAAGCTTCCCATGTTCAGCTGGAGCTGGGCAGGGGCTGTGTGGGGATTGAGGTTGGGGGCTTGGGAGGAGAGAGGGGAGGATCTCCTCATTGGAGGTATTTTACTGCTGATGGGCTGGGCTGCCAGGTTGACATCAAGCTGGATCCTGTGGCGTTGAGGTTATTAATCTACAAGGCACTGGCAGGGAGGTGTGTTTCTGGGCAGCACAAGTGTCTGGGGTGACTAAGGAGGGATGAAGGCTCTCTCCCTGAGATAACTCAGCTGGCTTCCAAACTGTTTTGTCAGGCAAAACCCAATTGAAAGAGGTTAATTGCTTCTCTGTCCTTTGACGGCTACACTGGGGCCTTTCGTAGGCTTCTGAGTGGAGCTGTCCGCCCCACACACTGTCCTCACTTGGATTAGGGTAGTTGATTTTGATGCTACGACTAGATGTCCACAGAATAGGACATCAAGCAAGAGGGCATTTCTGTTGGATATAAGTTAAGTTTAAGGTCACATGTAGATACCTTTGGTTCCTTCAGAGAGGTTTGTGATAGATCTGTGTGTTTTTGCTCAGCCTGGAATGCCTTTTGCCCTTTAGAAAATCCCTACTCATCCTTCTGGACTCAGCTGAAACACCTCCTTTCTGTTATTATGATTTTTGTCTCAATCATCCTAAGTGGATGGAATAATTAATTAAAATTTTTTTAATTTAAACTTTTCATTATAGAAATTCAATCATTAATAAGAGCAGAAAGAATAGTATAATGAACTCTTATGGAATTGTTATCCAGCTTCAGAAATTATCTATATTTTGCCAGTTTTATTCATCTCTTCCTCACTTTACTTATTCACTCATTCATTCTTAAAATTTATTTATTTACCAAAGTATTTAAAAGCAAATCTCAGGCATCATATTACTTCATTGGTAAATACTTCAGTATATGTCTCTAATAGATGAGGATCTACAATACCATCATTATACTTAACAAAATTAACAATAATTCCTTAATAACCTCGAATAGCTAGTCTACATTCAAACCTTCCTTGTCGCAAAAATGTCTTTTTAAAGTTACTTTGTTCAAATCTGGAACCAAACAAGGTACATGTTTTGCATAAAGATTTGGTTTCCTAAATCTTTTCAAATCTATAACATCTCTAATATTTTCCCTCCCTCCCTCCTCTTTTTTTTTTTCTAGCTATTTGCTTGTTGAAGGAACCAGATCATTTATCTTGTAGAATTTTCCACATTCAAGATTTGGCTGATTGCATCCACAGAGTGTCATTTAATGGGAAATAGATTCATAGCACACAATTCAAAATACGTAACATTTGAACATACGAAACGATCCTTCTATCTCCGTTCCTCAGGTGCCCAATTTTCCTGCCTGGAGGCGACTGTTATTTTCTGTTCATCCTTCCAGAGATATCTTCCTACTTGAATTTAATCACTCTATTTTCTTTATTCCTGTCACAGACCATAGTTGGTTAAATGTCTTTCTCTCTCTTTAGACTGTAGATTCCTTTAGGTCAGGGATTGGGTCTTCTTTTTTTGTATTTTCTCCCTCTAGTGATGATGCCCAGGACTGAGTTGATAGGATTAATGTTTGTGTCAATGCCAAGATGTGCCCTGTTACCTCTTGCCTTGGGAGAGGCCTGAGGAAGGGTGCAAGGCTTTGTGGTTAGAAGGGCTGAATTTGTGCCTTGCCTGTGGGATGGTCATTTAACCTTGTGCAGCTGCCATTTTCCTTGTCTGTAGATTACAGATGCTTATGCCACTTAACTAAGGATTATACAGAGAATATCTGAGACAGTGCCTTGTGCAATGTAAGGGTAAAGCAGGTGTCATTACAAGTGAGTCAGATGTCTGCCGGCAGGTGTGCTCTGTGAGTACCGAGACTTGGTCTGGGTTGTAGGTCTCCATGTCTGCAGTACCTGCGACAGAACTCAGGACACAGTCGGTCCTGAATAAAAGTTTGTTGAATGAACAAATGAATGAAATGTTTGTACTGGAAGCTCTCAAGGCCCTGTCTCTGAGACTTAAGGCCCCCCTGGCTTTCCCTGCCTCCCCTCCCCCTTTCTCCATGTACTAGAGCTATGGGCCGTGGAGCCCGCCGGAGTGACATTCTGCGGAAGGGCTGAGGCCAGGGCACAGGGGCAACCCCTCCACAGAGCAGGCAGTTGTCCTTCACGTGGAAGTCATCTGAAAGGCAGTAGTGCTACAGTTTGTAGAGAAGTTGACAGCTTTGGGGGATGCAGTAGGAGAATTGCAGCCTGGCATTGGATAAGATGGGCAGCGTGTAGTAGCTGGCATCAGATAACAGGGGTGCAGCCCAGGGCTTGTGCTATTCATAGACAGCTGTCATCAGTTATGACTACCTCACGTCCCTGAGGAGTGTCCCCTATGGCTCAGAAGAGTACTTGCAGCTTCGATCCAAGGTAAGGAATTCTTGGCACCCATCTGAACTAGGCCAGGACTGGATAAGTCCCGATGTGGCTGCAAAGCCAGCAAGCTTCCCATGTTCAGCTGGAGCTGGGCAGGGGCTGTGTGGGGATTGAGGTTGGGGGCTTGGGAGGAGAGAGGGGAGGATCTCCTCATTGGAGGTATTTTACTGCTGATGGGCTGGGCTGCCAGGTTGACATCAAGCTGGATCCTGTGGCGTTGAGGTTATTAATCTACAAGGCACTGGCAGGGAGGTGTGTTTCTGGGCAGCACAAGTGTCTGGGGTGACTAAGGAGGGATGAAGGCTCTCTCCCTGAGATAACTCAGCTGGCTTCCAAACTGTTTTGTCAGGCAAAACCCAATTGAAAGAGGTTAATTGCTTCTCTGTCCTTTGACGGCTACACTGGGGCCTTTCGTAGGCTTCTGAGTGGAGCTGTCCGCCCCACACACTGTCCTCACTTGGATTAGGGTAGTTGATTTTGATGCTACGACTAGATGTCCACAGAATAGGACATCAAGCAAGAGGGCATTTCTGTTGGATATAAGTTAAGTTTAAGGTCACATGTAGATACCTTTGGTTCCTTCAGAGAGGTTTGTGATAGATCTGTGTGTTTTTGCTCAGCCTGGAATGCCTTTTGCCCTTTAGAAAATCCCTACTCATCCTTCTGGACTCAGCTGAAACACCTCCTTTCTGTTATTATGATTTTTGTCTCAATCATCCTAAGTGGATGGAATAATTAATTAAAATTTTTTTAATTTAAACTTTTCATTATAGAAATTCAATCATTAATAAGAGCAGAAAGAATAGTATAATGAACTCTTATGGAATTGTTATCCAGCTTCAGAAATTATCTATATTTTGCCAGTTTTATTCATCTGTTCCTCACTTTACTTATTCACTCATTCATTCTTAAAATTTATTTATTTACCAAAGTATTTAAAAGCAAATCTCAGGCATCATATTACTTCATTGGTAAATACTTCAGTATATGTCTCTAATAGATGAGGATCTACAATACCATCATTATACTTAACAAAATTAACAATAATTCCTTAATAACCTCGAATAGCTAGTCTACATTCAAACCTTCCTTGTCGCAAAAATGTCTTTTTAAAGTTACTTTGTTCAAATCTGGAACCAAACAAGGTACATGTTTTGCATAAAGATTTGGTTTCCTAAATCTTTTCAAATCTATAACATCTAATATTTTCCCTCCCTCCCTCCTCTTTTTTTTTTTTTTTCTAGCTATTTGCTTGTTGAAGGAACCAGATCATTTATCTTGTAGAATTTTCCACATTCAAGATTTGGCTGATTGCATCCACAGAGTGTCATTTAATGGGAAATAGATTCATAGCACACAATTCAAAATACGTAACATTTGAACATACGAAACGATCCTTCTTTCTCCGTTCCTCAGGTGCCCAATTTTCCTGCCTGGAGGCGACTGTTATTTTCTGTTCATCCTTCCAGAGATATCTTCCTACTTGAATTTAATCACTCTATTTTCTTTATTCCTGTCACAGACCATAGTTGGTTAAATGTCTTTCTCTCTCTTTAGACTGTAGATTCCTTTAGGTCAGGGATTGGGTCTTCTTTTTTTGTATTTTCTCCCTCTAGTGATGATGCCCAGGACTGAGTTGATAGGATTAATGTTTGTGTCAATGCCAAGATGTGCCCTGTTACCTCTTGCCTTGGGAGAGGCCTGAGGAAGGGTGCAAGGCTTTGTGGTTAGAAGGGCTGAATTTGTGCCTTGCCTGTGGGATGGTCATTTAACCTTGTGCAGCTGCCATTTTCCTTGTCTGTAGATTACAGATGCTTATGCCACTTAACTAAGGATTATACAGAGAATATCTGAGACAGTGCCTTGTGCAATGTAAGGGTAAAGCAGGTGTCATTACAAGTGAGTCAGATGTCTGCTGGCAGGTGTGCTCTGTGAGGACCGAGACTTGGTCTGGGTTGTAGGTCTCCATGTCTGCAGTACCTGCGACAGAACTCAGGACACAGTCGGTCCTGAATAAAAGTTTGTTGAATGAACAAATGAATGAAATGTTTGTACTGGAAGCTCTCAAGGCCCTGTCTCTGAGACTTAAGGCCCCCCTGGCTTTCCCTGCCTCCCCTCCCCCTTTCTCCATGTACTAGAGCTATGGGCCGTGGAGCCCGCCGGAGTGACATTCTGCGGAAGGGCTGAGGCCAGGGCACAGGGGCAACCCCTCCACAGAGCAGGCAGTTGTCCTTCACGTGTAAGTCATCTGAAAGGCAGTAGTGCTACAGTTTGTAGAGAAGTTGACAGCTTTGGGGGATGCAGTAGGAGAATTGCAGCCTGGCATTGGATAAGATGGGCAGCGTGTAGTAGCTGGCATCAGATAACAGGGGTGCAGCCCAGGGCTTGTGCTGGGCAGGGGGAGCTGGCTAGCACTAAAGAGCATGAGTAAATACCGCAGGAGTGTTTCTTCCATTGGAACGCTTCTCCTTTCTCATCTCCTTGACTGATAAAGGAGTGAGTGAAGGGGAAAACATAATTATCTCTCCTGTTAAGCCAGCGTCCCCAGGTCCTGAAGTATGTCAGGACAGGAGCTGAGCTCGGCAGGCAGTGACTTAGAGAAGCACTTTAAAGGTTGTTGCTCAGCTGGCTGGGATCCAGTGACTCAGTTGCTCATCAGAGTGGGCTGGGGGTGAAGGAGTATTTTCTAGGGGCACAGTGGCACTTTGCTAGGCAAAGGAGGGAGTGGGTTAGGGCCTAGATGCTTTGGAGAGCCAGACTCCTGGTGCCCAGGATACCTATAAACGAAGACAATGGGTGTAAACCGGCCTGTCTGCAGTGCAGAAAGAAGTCATGGCTGGTATAGACATCCTGACAGTAGGCTGGAGCAGGCAGGACTGAGTTGATTCTGACTGAGGGGTTGGGGTATAGTGGACATACGTTGATTTTGTAGCTCAGGAGCCATTCTCATTTTGGGGAACAGCACCCAAACTTCCCTGTGGGGAACCACCCATATCTCATGTACTTGCCATAGGTTTGAGTGGGGCTCACCCCACCCTCAGCTCCAAGGGTGGGCTTGTGACTTAGGCCATCTGTGGAGTCCATTCCTCTGGCCCTAAAGATGATTCAGGGTTGGGCATTCTGAGCCAGTGCTGGTCAGTGAACATCAGTTTCAGGTCTTTTATGAGGGTCCCTCATAGGAAACTCTTCTCTGGTGGGTTAGCTAGGAGTATAGGATGTTTGCTTAGAGCTACTAGCAGCTGTCTGGCCACCATGAGGGGAAAGTCTGCCCGTGAATAGAGCTAGCATTGTAGAGAGATGAGTTGTTTGAGTACCTGTATCTTGCTGGAACTGAAGTCAGACTATCACTGGCCTTCTCAGTTATGTATGCCAGGAAATTTTCTTTTTCCTTAAGATGGTTCGAGCTTGGTTTTCTGTTACTTGCAACCAAATGGGTCCTGTTATAATGGGGACTCTTGGAGAAGCATGCTGGATCTTGACGCATAATTAGGGTTTTGATAAGTCAAAGGACTTGTGACTCAAGGGAGGAAATGAAATTCAGAAATTCCAAAGCCTAAACAGGGTAAGGAGAGGTATGGATGCTGCTGAGTAGAATTTGAGCCATTTTGGACCTGGAGCCAGGTCTTCAGGCTCTGGTCTGCCACTAAGTACCTCGACTTCCCTATCTGTAAAGTGGTGGCAGTGGTTTTGCCCCAGCTGAGTTTTTAAATCAGAGTGAGCAGCTTTGCTTAATTAAACACTGTGGATTATTTAATCTAGCCAGATAGGAGATCCAGAAGCATAGGTTTTCTCCTTATATTTTAACAAACAAGTTAATGATTTTCTGTTTTCCCTATTTCTACATTTATTAATTAGAATTATTCTATAAGGAAGAGCTGTACCTTCCTCCTCAGTTGTTCATTGAATCATTTTTTAATCAATACAAGTCCATGGATATTTTATTCTATAGGTTAAAATCCAAAACAATCATTATTTATTTTTATTGCTCATATTGTTCCAACTGTGGCCTGGAAGCTCCTTCAGCTTGATTCCTATGTCCTTTTGGTATAATCTTATTATTTTTTGAGCACTGTCTTAACTTTCTGGTACCATAAAATGTCCCAAACTCATTTTGTATTTTCCTTGCCCTAGCTCTGGAAGCAATTGCTTCTCCAAAGACCCTTGTTTCTTTTGTTGTAGAATGGTATTTAGAAACCAGGATGTGGGTGCTAGGTATGCATATTACTACTAGGAACAGTGTTAGGGAATATATGTATGTATTCTTATGCATACACATCTATTAAAAAGCTGTAGGTTCATACTGATATCTCCAATTCTAATCTAATGTCACAGAGTTCATTTTAACTTTCTTTCCTTATATGTAACCTATTTCTCTCATGGTGAGAAACCTGCCTTGTTATCTACAATTTATTTACTCATTTGTTCAACCCTAGTATACCCTAAAATACTTAAAACCCCCAGAGCATACAGGAACAGAAAGAATGGCTCAGGCTGAGTGAGACTGAATGAGTTAAGTTATTTGAGCTGCATTTGGAAAGGTGGGTAGGATGGAAATGTGCCACTGGGGACAAGATGATCTTGGCTGATGTTGATGGGTAAAATTTGGGGGATTTACTGGAGACTAGGGTTTGGGTGAGTGAAGGGGCATACTGTTAAACAGAATGAGGTAGGTTACAGAGGAACTAAATGTCAGGTTTCATACCATAGACAGTGGGGAGCCACGGAAAGTTCTTAAGTAAAGTTTTTTTAGGGTTTCAATGAATGAGGATGCTTAATGTTATCAGTTACTGAATGTTTTTTGAACTCTACTCTTTCAGACAATGAGTAGAAGCATGAGTGTGTGTGTGTTTGTATGTGGAGAGAGATCTCATGTGCCTTTTCCTTTGTTAATCAGAGTCCTAATATCAGAGGGGTCCTCCGTTGCTGCTGTCATGGGGAAGCTTTTTAGCTGAATTCATTCACTTTCTTTTGTCCAAGTAGTTGACTGGCTCCTGTGGCATCAGATGCTTCCGGTCAGCAGGATATGTGTGTCGTATTAGTTACTATAGTGCTTAGCATTTGGGCTTGAGGAGGTAATGATTCATATGCTTTTCCTCTATGCCTGAGAAGCAGAACCAGGGAGATGCAAGACTGCTGGGTAGACATAAAAATGTCAGCTTTATTACTGATAAGTGCTGGGCTGCAGCATGTGGCTTGGGTCTGGGAGCAAGTAGGTTTGTTGAACTTCACCCCTGAATTTGACAGGCCTACCTACCCAGGCATAGACGTGGCAGAACAGCCTCTCACATGGGGGCTGGCCTCTTAGGGCAGGGCGGAGCTGACTACGAGCCGATCCCACCAGGAGAGGAGAGAGGAGGGCGTGAGCTGAGCATGCTCTGTTTCTTCTCCTAAACTCATCAATCTGATTGGCTATTCCTCTTCCCACAGGGAGTAAGGGAGAGGGAAGAGAGAGGTCAGGAGCATTATGCCTCTAATAGGGCTCCCTCCACAGGCTCCTGTGACCCTTAGAGGTAGAGTTACCTGTAGTACTTACCCTCAGACTGGGAGGTAGCTGTAAATTTGCTGTGTGAACCTTTGGAGCCCATTAAATTCTGCTCACCTTTATCACTGACCTTGCTTAGGGATACAGGCTGCTTTGGGCTGGAGTATGAGATAAATATTTCAGCATTACTGAAATCTGCATTTAGAGGAAGGGGTCACATGCTGTCAACCTTTTGAGCCATGACATACGGTAGGGTGTTCTGGGGGACAAGGGGTATTTCAGACGAGTGGATATTGGTCAGAGGAGTAGAGTAAAGGGTTAAGGTAGGGTGATGACTCTATCTGTAATTACACCGTTGAACTTGAGGCAGACATCTTCGGCATCAGCCAGCTCAAGCCTAATGTACAGATGCAGAGCTGGAAGTCCAGAAGCATGATGTGATAGCTTGAAGCCCGCCCTGCAGGCTTGTGGCAGATCATGGACTTGGTCTTGGACATCCAGATCTTACCCAGTATCATGTTCTTTTCCCTTTGTCCTTGGTCTGTCTGTCCACTTGCAACTTGGGGGAAAGCACCAAGTTGGCGAGAAAGTGAACCCAAAGATACCTGCGCAGCGGTCTTGCCAACTAGTAGTTGCTGCTTCTGGGATTGCTTCTCCCCTGATCCATCCCACAGGGTGTGAGCCCTGAGGCTATAGTGCTGCAGGGGTGGGGTTGGGGGTGTTGGGAAACAGCGGGGAGGAGGGAGACTGGCAATAGAGACTCCTCCCTGGAATTCCTTTATTTATTTAATCAATCAACCAAAGAGTTAATTCAATAAATATTTGGAATTTGCATTCCCCAGTAAGGGAAGTGTAGAACCCCCAGTAGCTCTTTGCTTTGGGAAAGGGTTTCAACTCTTAAGCTATTCAACAAATGCCAATTGGGGGATAACCATGCTAGTAGCAGCTTGGTGAAGATGTGATAATTCAATAAGCATTTTAAAGATCTTATTATTTATTCTGCAGGGGAACTGGAGCAGTGCCTGGCTCTTTAGGAATATACTCTGAAACCTGGGGACTATTCTGGCCAGACTGGGTCATGCCTTCACCATTTTCCCATCCATCTGTTATTAACTGGGGCTGCTCTGTCCCAGGTCCTGTGTGAGGCTCAGGCTCAGAGGATAGAAAGGGAAATAAGGTCCACCTTGCCCTCCAGTTGCTTACAGTCTAGGAGGGCAAGCTTGTGAAATCACCACTTGGAGAAGGATCCATCTGTCTTCATCCCATCTCTGGCCCCTGACAGCAGCTAACTCCTAGCCAAGTGGAGCAGCAGCCAGAGCCCGCCCGGTGGATGGTGGGGTGGGGTGGGGTGCATGCCATGGAGGCCTCCTCTGGTGTAGTGGTCTCTGTGCCACTGTTCTTTTGCATGGGCAGTGAATGTCAGCCTGGTGTGGAAGCTTGTCAACAAGTTTTCATGCATCTGTCCCTCAGACTCCCTTTTGTGCTTTTGTTCGTCATCATGGAACATTTGCCTAAGAGTATTCTGCACAGAGGATGAGGGAAATTGAATCTTTGCTGTCTTGATGACCAGCTTTCTCAGTTTGTGATAATTTCTGCAGGAGCATGAGCTGCATTTAATTTGCTCTGCTGGGATCATCTAAGGACAGGCCTGTGGAAAATGGCGATGGAGTCTGCGATGGAATTCAGTGCCTCCTTTTTAGCTCTCTATGTACCCAAACGTTTCTGAGTACTGCGTCACAAACCCACAAAACTTTCTTCAGTGGCCCTGACCCCAAAGTCTTTATGCTTCAGGGAGTGTTCCGTAGTAGTGAGCTCTTGGGCCTTGGTGTGGTCTGGGGAGAGACTGGGTTGGGGTTCACTTTCATCAGTGGGGACTCTGGAGAGAATGTGGTGTGACTTGAGCTTCCCCCTGGAGATTGGGCTCACTGTGTGGCAGCTTCTCTGTAGTTCCTAGCAGTCCATGTGGATGCCAAGTTATCTTCTTGATTCTCTGCACTTGTCAGTGATCTACGGATCATGGCCAATAACAGTGTCCCATTTTGCCATGGCTGCATACCCCTTGTATTTTTAAAAACATGAAATATATAAGACCTAAGAAAAGGCATAAAAATAATTGAGTGATCACCTTTATGCTCACTGCTCAATTTCAGATATAATTCCTAACCCATATAATTGTATTCCATTGGGTATTCCTTGATTCTAGCCTTCCTCCCACATAACCAGAAGTATATCTTGAATTTGTTTGTTTTCATTCCCATGCACTTCTTTATAACCAACTAACTATTCATGTATATTTTTCATTCTTTTAACTTTTTCCTTTCTTTGGTTTTGTCTTGAGCAAACATCTATGAAATTACAGATTTGATAGACTAGTGATCTCTTTTTGGGGGTCTGTGCATCTTCAAATAAGGAGTATTCTGGGTACTACCTGAAATTGCTTCTTGTACCACTTTTTTGCACACCGTTACTGGTACTGGGTCACACTTGGAGAAATGCAGGCTGCACCATCTGTAGCAGACGCTGGGCCGAACTCTGGCTTGCACCCTCCATTTCCTCAGTCTGTCCTCCGCTGGGCTTGGCCACTGTCTTTCCAGCTCTTCTCCTGGCTCACCCTGTTTCTCTCCTGGGGCTGCTTCAGGCTTGCAGCTGTCTGATGGGATGGTATTTGCTGCTGCTGCTTAGAAGCAGTGATCCCTTTCCAAAGGCCACAGCTGAAATGAAACAAAATAAGCCCCTGGGTTTCCAGTGATGGGAGGCCATTGCCATGTGCTGGGCATCTTTCCATCCTGATGAGCATGATTACGACCATTAGCCAGTTCATCATTTGCCAGTGTCTGTAGCTCCTTTGCATGCATGGGCTGCCTGGACACACAGGGCTGGCTTCCTGCTGCTGCAGGGCTGCTTGCCAACTGCCCTGCCACCTGGTTCTTGTGGGGCAGGTAGAGAGGGCAGAGAGCCCTGCTCCCCCGGGGATGGTGCTGTGTTGAGGGTTGAGCCTGCACCTAATGGGACAGTTGCTGGAGAAACCCTCACGTCAGCCTGTCCTTGCCCATCTCAGACCCCACCCTAGACCATGGCTGGGCTTCTCACTGCGGATAGCTGCTCACACTGAAAACCCCCCACAGTTTCCTTTCCTGCCTGAACTGGGTGCTTCTTTCTCAACTGAGCTGTTTCTACTTTGCTGAGGGTAGCACAGGGAAATGGGATGAAGCCACACGATGCAGGACCTGGGGTAGATATAAGCAAGGACTTCCTTACCACTAAGATAGTTTAGTATTGAAGCAGGTTAACCAAGCACAGCTTTCCAGAAACAGGAGAGATTCTGTCTGTCTTTTATGGAGGTGGGGATGTGACAGCTCACCAATGGTTCCTTACCATGTCAGGTGGTCAGAGTCACCTTGGGAGCCTTACAAAGTCCAGATTCCTAAACTCTATACTCTAAAGATTTGTTTTCAATGATTCTACAATGAGGTCTGGAAACCATATTTTTAATGAAGTCCTCAGATGGGCTTCTGATGTGAAGAACAAGCGTTTACAGGGACTGACCACCATGGGACAGGTGCTGTACTGAATTCTCTATTATCTCCTTTAACTTCACAGCAATCTGAGGTAGATGCTGTTGTTACCATCCCCATTTTACAGATGAAGAAACTGAAGCACAGACTGAGTGACTTGTTTGAGGATCTTGCTAGTCAGCAGGTATACTAGTAGCCTGTGATTGCCATAACCAATTACCACAAATTGGGTGGCCAGGGATAATAGAAATTAATTTTCTTACATTTCTGGAAGCCGGAAGTCTGAAATCCAGGTGCCAGCAAGGCCAATGTCCTTCTGGAGGCTCTAGGGAAGAATGTGTCCTTGCCTCTTCCTCTGGCTGCCGGCCTTTCTTGTGGTTGCCTCCCTCCAATCTCTGCCTCCATCTTCTCTTTCTTATACAGGTACTTGCCATTGGATTTAGGGCCTGCCTGGGCAATCCAGGATTCTCTCATCTCAAGATTCTTAATTTAATTATTTCTATAAAGACCCTTTTTTCCAACTAAGATGACAATCACAGGTTCTAGGGGGCAGGACATGGGCATATCTTTTGGGGTACCACCATTCAGCCCACTACAGGGTCTTCGATTAATCCCGAACAGTGTGATCCTGGGCCTGTGGCTATAACCACTTGACTTCCCAGCTCTCTCCCCTGGACTGGATGAGCTGCCAGGGTACCTCTAGGCCAGCAGTTGAGGTGTAGATTTCTTTGCAGTATCAGGGAGTTTGAGCTATTTGTCAAGCTGTGGCAGACCAGTGTTTCCCCCCACTCTCCCACCCCCTCAGCCCTCTGCCATTTCTCCTGAAGCCCTGTGGCCTGTCCCTCCCAGACTGAAATTCCCACACCTTAATGTGCTCAGGAGGTTAGGCCACAGGGACTATGAGGCCAAATTCATTCTGGCTTGGGTGAGATGGAGGCATTTCTCTTGCCTCAGTGTCTATGTCCCCAGAATGGAAGCTGCTGGAGTAGCAGGGGTAGATGGAAGGCCATAATATAACTAATAAAGTTGATGGAAGGCACTTGGCAGCTGTAAGGGTGATCAAGATGCTTGTTAACAACAACACTAATAATCTAATAGCCTGTTCTTGATTTCCTGCTTCTCACTGTCTTGGCCCCAAGCAGCTATTTTCTACCAAATTAAAATCCACTCAGCTTTCTTCCTGTCCCTGAATAAAACTATCCTCACAGCTCTTGCGTGTTACAGCAAGACTTTTTAATAGAGTTTTCCTTGTAGAACCCTGAGACATATGTCCAATTAGCAGAATAATCTCACTTAAATATACTAATAAACTGCTGACTGATAATGGCAGGACATGTGAGGCTAATTTAAAGCAGTGTGGTTCGGGAACTGGGGCACTTCCCGCTTCCCGACTGTCTGCCTCCAGGCCTCTCCTTCCCTCCAATGTCTTGCTTTCGCAACAGTCCTTCACGCTCCACACTCTATAGGATGAAAAGGGGTGTCCACGTGGTGCCCAGTCACAGTGCAGAGAACCCAAACCACTCACTATGCATACAGTCAGTCGTGCAGCAAATATTTATTGAGTACCTACCCAGTGCTGGGCGTTTGCAAGGTGCTGGGTATACAGTGGTCTTTTGGAGGAGTTAAGGGGTAACTAACAGTGGATGGAACTCGTAAGAACATCCGTTCCTGGAGATAGGGACTCAGTCTGTTGTGCTTGCTGCTATATCCTTAGCACTTAGAACAGTGCTTGGCAAACGACGGGCTCAGTAAATACTTTTTAGTGAATCAATGAGATAAGTAAACAAGACATGTCAGCTCTTACTGAGTACCCCAAAAGAGATAAAACACCGTTATGGGATTAAAAGCAATGGAAGCAGGGCAGGGGGATCAGCTGACATGGGGGTTTTCATTTGAAACTGAAAAGCAATGAAAGAACCGGGAGGAGCTGGGAGAATGTTGTTAGTGGTAGAGGCGAGGTGGGCTATGTAATTTACAGGGCTCAATGTGAAATGAAAATGCAGGCTTCTGGCTGGAGGTGGGGATGTCAGTCTCCCCTTCCCAGGCTCTGCTGCCCCAGCCCTCAATGGATGGGGAACTCCCACGAGATTGCAGCCTGTGCTAGGATGTGCTCAGGGTCTTATCAAGACCGGGTATGTGAGAGGTCCCTGCTGAGTTGCCTGTTGAACTTGTGATGCTGGTCAAGGATGGGGAAGGATGCTGCATGACATGTGTACCACCCTGACTCTTGCTATGCCTGCAGTGAGACCCACAGTGGAGGTGAAGGGCAGTGGCAGAATGCAGGCCTCCCTTTCCAGTGTGTGACCTGGTTGTCACCCTGGTGGAGAGCAGCTGTGACCGTGGGGTGGAGGCGAGGAGGTAGGGTAGAGACAGGGCATTGGGGGTGCAGTGAAGAGTGAGTAGCCGAGAACTCACTGTGGAGGTAGGACTATGTGTGAGATGAATCGCCCAGTCCATACTCCATTATCCCTTCAGATTTCACTTGCAAAACACAAATTCAAAAATAAATTTAGGAATTTCAAGACAGCTACTGTATTAGTTTCCTATTGCTGCTGTAACAAACTTCCATATAAACTTAGTGGCTTAAAACAATACAAATTTATTCTCTTACAGTTCCAGAGGTCAGAGGTCTGAAATGGTTCTCACTGGAGTAAAATGTACATGTAGAAGGGTTGCATTTCTTTTAGAGGCTCTAGAAGAGAATTAATTTCCTTGTGTTTTTGTAACTCTGGGAATGGTGGGGTGGGAAATATTTTCCCAGGCTGGAGCAGATTACCTTTGAAACCAAAATCAGTCAATGGGAGAAATAAAGTACGAGAAACCCACTTATTGCTTACAAGCAGTTATCCACTTCTGTTCGCCCGTGTGTGTCACAGACCGGCTGCAAAAAGAGACCCCACTCAACCTCTCTGGTCCAGATATGCCCTCGCTCCCCCATGTAATCACCTATTGATATGGAGATGGACTACTTCTTTCTGCCCCTCGGATATACCTATCGATATGGAGATGCACTAAGGCCAGGTGAGAGATTCTGGAAATACTGCAATTTTACCCACACTCTTTCAGCTTATAGAGGCTACCTGCATTCCTTGACTCATGTCACCCTTTCTCCATCTTCAAGACCAGCAGCATCTGGTCAAGTCCTTCCCATGCTCCCTTCTCTCTGGTTGTCTTCTGCTTCCCTCTTGCACTTGAAAGAACCTTTGTGATTGCATTGGGCCCACCTAGATAATCCAAGATAATCTCTCCATCTCAAAGTTGGCTAATCAGCAACCTTAATTTCATTTGCCACCTTAAATCCCCTTTGTTATGTAACGTAGCCTATTTACAGGTTTTAGGGATTAGGTTGAGGACATATTTGTTGGGTATTTTTCTGTCTTCCACATTCAACCACTGCAGGGCCCAGTGTGACTGTTTTGTCACATGCCCAGGAAGCTGGCCCTGGAAGAGGAAATTGCAAGCCTAAAAGCCTTGAGATGGGAATGAGTTTAGCTAGTTCAAGGACCTGAAAGGAGTCCAACATGATGAAGAATAGTGAATGACAGGACATGTGGCACAAAATGAGACTGGAGAGGCTTTCACAAGACCTGCAGAGGGTTAAGAACAGTGGGCTGGGATCTTCCTTTGAATCCTTAAAACAAAAACTCTATATGAAAAATTTCAAATGCAATTAAAAGATAGAGAGAGTAGTAGACCTAGCACCTAGATGTAAAATACGTTGCCATACTTCATTTATTTATTTACTTTTGCTGAGGATCTTCAATATATAAAAATCCTGGCATTTCACCTGTAATTTCAGTGTACATCTCTAACAACTGATGTTTCTCTAAGTATTCACATCTTTTTTATAATGAATGAAATTAGCAAGAGTTCTTCAACTTCATCTAAATCCTCTGTTCAGTGGCCCTGCCCCCAAGTGCCCCTCCCATTACTTACATTGCCTGAGCTTTGTGCCTATTCCCTCTTTCTGAGATTAGAGTGAGGCCTCCTTCTCTGTAGCTTTCAGGATCTTGTTTTCTGTTCCTTCCCACCAGCCTGCAAGATCTCACAGCTGTGAGGAAATGAAAAAGACAACTGTCACACACCCAGCCCCATGGTCCGAACAGGGATGCTGGGGAAGGGAAGGAAAGCAAGCTGGCTGGATATGTTATTCTGCTTGTGGCCTAACATTTGTTTTTCTTGTCTGTAATTGCCATTCCAGAAATGCCCTCACTCTTTTAGCCACAGATCAACTATTGAGAACAAATTAATTATGCATCTTCTCAGTGTGTGTGATCAAGAGGCAGATGGAGGGAAGGGTCCTGTTCAGTTTTTCTGGCAACGAGGTTCCCAAATGGATGCTTTCCAGACCAAAGAGTATGTGTCCTGGGCTCCTTTGGGCATCTGGATTTGTCTGTATGGTGGTAGCTTTGCCCACTGGCAGGCAGAGTCACAAGTTGACAGTAATATTATTAATCTCTTAAATTTGTAGCATATTTTCTGTTTGCTGGGGGCTTGTACACTCACATCAGCTTGTTTGTTGGGATTTCAGAGTTGCTGAAACAACTTTCTTTGCTTAATACCTTCCTAAATCATTGCTGATGCTTGTAATTCTACCATTAGAGATTAATTCCTTTTGCTTATACTCTGTTCCCTATTAAAATGCAAGTATCCTTGGCAGCTGTGTAACATGTTTTATTCATTAGGCTTTCTCAGCCACTAGCAGCTGCCCTCCTGAAATGTCCCCTCCTACAACTTTCTTTTTAAGATAGCCTTCTCTGAAGCATAATCTATATTTGAAACCTATCCCATTCCATAGAACTCTGCTCTCCATTGCTGAGGCTGGAAAAACAGAGAGGTAAAGAAACTCTTGCCAAGGTGGCAATGACAGATAACTCCCTGTGTTACCACCTGTAGGGAGTATTTGCCTATTACCTAGACCTGGAAACACAGTGCTCACTGCAAAGGAACCTGTAACTCTTCATCCTATCAGGTCAGTGGCTTTGGCCTTAGTTCTTCCCTTTTTCCATGTTCCCTCAGAGAAGCAGAGGAGAGAGAGGATCCTGGCAAGACCACATTGAGAGCAGATCTTGTCTGTGAAACTCAGATTGGGCATTGGTCTGAAACATTAGATTGTTCATTATGAATAGGGGAGAAAGTGGAGCTGACCTCTTTTAACAATCAATGTCCATTTTACAGAAGGAAGATTGAGTTGTAAGGACAACAATATAGTTGGAGTAGGGCTAGAGTTTTACAATTTTGTCTTTAGAACCCCAGTAACTTAGTTGAAGATTTTGAGAGTCAGAAGACTCCTTAGAAACAATCTAGCTCAGGGAAAGCAAATGCATTTCAATGCATTTCAACTACAACAGTAGTTGTCTGAGTTCAGAGTAGAGAATAAGTGGGTCTTCGCCCAGGCTCAGTGAGTGTGTTGAGGTTGATTAGTGATGTCTGATGTGTGCCATGGGTGTGATAATAGAGGGGAGACAAGTATGCCACACGTGCTATTCCTGCTTCTGTCCAGCCTCATTTTACTAATGGGCCTGCTGAGGTCCAGAAGGTGGGAGGATTTGTTCAGTGGGTGCACTAATTTAGGGGAAGGATTGGCCTAGAGAACTGTAGGGTAGTCATCCTGAGGAGCAGAGAGAAAAAAGAATTTCTAAAAATGAGAAGATGCTAAGAGAGCTATGCTAAACAATATTTGCATAATAGAGGTCCCAGAATGAGACTGAAAAATTCCCCAATCTGGGGAAGGAAATAGACATCCAGGTCCTGGAAGCCTGGCCTTGTCAAGTTGCTACAGTGGGAGACCTTATGTCTCCTGGGCCTACCTTGCTTCCTTCTCCCAACAGCTCCCCAATCTCAGTTTGTTTGTGCTGGTACTTTCCAGGCCCCTGTGTGGTCATGAATGTTTTTCCTAATCTCAGCGTTTAAGCTGACTTACTGGAACAACTTCTAGAGCCCACACACAGCTAGGTGCCACGGTGGCTACTTATCCCAGCCATGGGAAATAGCTGAAGCTCAGCAGGGGGTAGCAGTTGGGGGTTGTGAGCATGTTGGGAGGGCAACACTGAAGGCCCATAGCAGGCACTGGCTGCCTGGATTTTTTTCTTCTAATTCATGAGGAATATTTAACAGTGTGTTTAGAGGAGTAGCAGAGTTTAATAGAGATAGGTTTTGTAATCAGAAGACAAATGATGCAAACCTTAAGTCTTTTACTTACTGACTGAGTGATTCTGGCAAGGTCCCTCACTTTTCTGAGTCTGTATTCCTGCGTCTGTGCAATGGGGAGAATGCTAGTACCCCACCCCAAGGGCTCTTATCTGGATCAGGTAAGATGCTGTGTGTGAAAGGTTTCATGTAAAGGTCTGTACATTCATTACAGAGTATGTGATGAGTAAGATTTTGTTTCCCAGAAGCTGATATTGTAT